GTTGAAGACCCGATCATGCAGGATATGTGTCAGCGAGTTTACGACGGAACGAGCCCTTGGGAAATGGGATGTCTGAGTTACCTAGTATGGGATGACAGTATTCACGCTCACACGCTCACGGCTACGGCAAAACGAAGAGTCGGGACGGATTACCTAGACAGATCGGCTTCAACTGCCGACTGGCTCGCTGTATTGGAAGGACGAACGACTCTGCCTCCGCCGATACTGGAGCGTGTTCCGGGACAATTGTGCCCAAAGTGGTATCTCGTCCGACGCCATGATCGGCGGCGTTGGGCCCGGCCGGAGCCAGCAGCATATCCTTTGACAGGCCCTACGCCGTGGGCGCTGATTGTGGCTTGCGTACCTCGTCCGTGTTAGCTGCGCCCGAGGGCTTGGGACACCGGCGGCTAGGTCCCCTAGGGTCGTGGCACCCGCTGTACCAAGGAATAGGCTACGTTGAAACCCGCAAGCAAAGGCCGTTGGCATCCTTTCCAGCTGTATGGTTCTCGACGTTGGGTGCGCTGTAGCGTGCTGACGGCAATGGGCCGGCGAGCGGACGGACCGACACTACGGGGCCGGAGGCGCAAATGGCATACGAATAAACAGCAAGTGCATTCCCTATCCAATTAGACATGCTGCAAGTCTTGACGATGATGCCAATGGTTGGCTGTCGTTTGTCACACCTGAGGGTTAATTTGCCCATATTCCTTTCGCCGTCAGCACCTCTGCCAAACAAATTGCGCCGCCAACTCCCCCCTCTCCTCTGGCCTCCTCGGACTCGGCAGGTTCAACTTCAGCTCCAACAAATTCAGTATTCAGCTGTAGAGACCATCGTCTCACACATATACCATGCATACGGCGGTAGCATGGTATTGTCGATTCAATAGTTGTAGTCGACTCGTTGTTCTGGGATGATACTAGCATGCCCTACCATTGTACAATTAGTAGCTCCACATCCTCTCCAACAACTAGGCTCCCTTTCCTCCTCCTCTCCCGGGGCCATTGGTACTTGGTGAAAAAAGAAAAAGAAAACTCCGTACGGATACAGGCTAGCACCCCATGCTAGCTGGACTAGGCCACAAATAGACATCGCAAGCGAATTTTGACGATTTGGCATTTTCCTCATATGCTGCCCCTTCCCTCTGCTGCATCCCCGTCCTTTTTTTCTTAAAATTCCCCGTTCATAACGGATCCACCTCTACAATTTTTATCCCTGGCCCCTTTCCCCCTCCCCTGGGCCTACCAATGATCTCCAGCCAGGACATGCCGAGTACATAGCTACTCTGTACACATGGGAATCTCACAGCAAAAGCAGGAGAGAATCATTAGCTTTTAACCGACCCGTCGGTTTCATGAAACAAGAATCCCCACCTCCAGCTGCACCTCACCTGCATCTATTCCCAGCTGACCCCGGCTCGTCGTCGTTTCCTGACCATCACGGGGTGATAGGACACAGGCTGGCTGTATGTACGAATACACCTCAGTCTAACGTAGGTAAGGTATCCGCAAGAATACAACAATGGAACTCACCATTGTCATGCAGGGCATATCAGCTCCGAAATGTAAAGAAGCACCGGCCGGTTTCCCATCAGCTCTGTCTGAACTTGTGCATTTGATTCCTCATCACTGTCCCCGTACCTTACCCTGGCCATGTCACCGTCACTCTCGCCCCGACCGGCTCCCTGCCGCCTGGCCATTGTCCTTCTTCTCCTCACCTCACCTTCGCACCAGTTTCCTGGATCCCCGTCCCCGTACGTCTGCGCTTCTACGCTATTCCCGTCTCCCAAACTCCAGCTTCTGCCCAGTGCCATTTATACAGCCGTCCAATCAGTCTTTTTCGCCCTTGGTGCACTTTCGGGGCGAGAACGTTCCGTGCCAGACGTGCATCCATCCCCCCTTTCCACCCTACGCAACGATACCGAAGCTTGAGCAACAAATCGTTTACGTACGTTCACTCACCGTCCTCTCGCCATTCCATTACATCAAGGATTCGAGTAGCCAATGGTAAGGGCTGGAGCTCTTTCCGCTCAGGTGAACCCAATACCTGGGCAGTCAGTCATTTTTCCCCACCGTGAGGTAAGCTCTGAGGAGACCCAACCGTCGGAGTGGCCTTGTGGAGAGAATATTCCGGCTACAGCTTATGGCCATAGCAGAATCATGGATGCGGTGTCGTCTACACGGCGGGCGAGCATCCCCTCCCTCGTATAGCATGAGAGCGATTCTCTCTGCGGTCAGTGGTCCTCTGGCGAAAGGCCGCCCCGATGCCCTCGCTGCTCGGTAGGCTCCAATTCCTCATAGACAATCACGAGGGCTATGGTAAGGATTCGAAAAGCCGAGATGACCTATCATCACCTCCGTGTCTACCTCAGTACGCCCTCTCGCAGGAACTCCTGCTGCACAAGATAATGATTGCTTTACTGACCATATTCCTGCCGTCCTTGACGTACCCTACCTCTCCGACTCGGTGACGGCCCACTAGAAGAACCAAAAATACATCTTCACCGCGGCTTCAATGTCGTTGGCATGAGCCAGGACCAAGCTTTTATGGGTTCGGCGCCAGTACCAGCCCGGGGCATGCATTAACAGACGAATGTCCGAGCGAGGTCTCGTTATTTAGTTCCACGGCGGCGCTACCAGCACAACGGTTCCCAGCAACGGTCTGTTACGTCTAGCTAGCCAGCCACGTTTCTGTCATAATGGCTTCACCAACGAGGGCAGTTCCAACCAAATCCACGGATACCAAGCCAGCCCGCCCTTTGGCCAGTAATATGCGCTCGGACTATCGACGAGCGACGAGGGTGCCATGAAAGTGTTACCGTCGCGAATAATGTGGCCATGATTCGACCTACGCCTCGTGCCCTTTTCCCTGGCCCCGAGCCAGCCACAAGATGTGAATCAGTGAACCCATATCCTAGCTCTTTCGTGGGACTGGAATGAAGACTTCTATGTGATCTGACCTCATCCTTAATGTACTTGCTCTCATCTCGTTTTCCATGTTGCTGAGACATTGAAGACGGCCGACAACTGCAAATGGTGGACAGGAAGATCTCGCTGGTACCTTCTGCTAGTTTACCTCAACTACGATGAATCTCGTATGCGCCAAGATTCCTTTTGAAATAATACTGTTTGCTCCGTTTGTTACTGCTTCTGCTGTAAATTTCGTTGTTATGGCGATTATTATTAGAGTTCCGTCGTGATGTTGCAACACTAAGAGCATGAGAGGAAGGAGAATATGGAACTTCCGACCATGTCCACACAGACAGGAACCTCATGAACGCCAAATTGATGTGGTTCTTGATACTGCAGCCAGCGGCCTCGAGACATCACGGGGTGCCACCTAGATCTAACTGAACGGGTTCGAACGGTCGTGTACGTCCTCCAGGCCCACGACTCTTATCTCGCACAAGCCCTTCTTCCTCATCGAATAAGCATCATCGTCCTGAACCCCTTAATGGTTCTGTTTTCCATTAGATGGGCAATTATTGGCCGAATCTGTCGTGAGGGTTCGCGGGTCACTGTCCTCAGGGATAAAACGGGGAAGGGGGGGGGGGGGGGCTAACAAGAGGGAGGGCGAGTGAGCTGATTGAAGGATGTAGACCTTTTCTCGCACATCATTTCAGACCTGTCTTTCTTGCTCGAATTAACGACGCCTCATGGTCTTTATCGTTGGGAGACGAAAACGCACATGGTCTTATTCACCGAGTCGTTGGACTACTTCGCCACGCCCACTCTTGCTCTGGAAGAAGTATGACGCCTTTCTCAATACAGCTTTCCCTTTCACTCCCCGGCCCAAACGTTGTCGAATGGATGGCTACCAGGCTACGATCATTATCCCCGTGCTATCGAGCAAACGGATCTGGCCCCAAGACCTAGTTTCCACGTTCGTGGCGTTCATCCTCCTCCCCGGTGCTCCTAAGTAGGAAAGGGCATGGTTCGACAGCGGTGCGACAATCGTCTTCGGACAGACACACGCACAACTAATGGGGGAATCTACTTCAGTCAAGCCTAGTTCGAGCGTCATTACTAGTGAGCCATGCCGACCCCCCATCTCCATTTGGAAGCCTCTCGTAGTAGTTCGTATGCTGAGGGAGAAACATTTTGAAGTCCTCGTCTTACTATTGGTTGCTATACGGAACGTTGGGCATTTTCACGGTTGACGAAACGAGTCAACGGTGTTCTTACCGCCTGCTTAGCTTCCCCCGTACGCTAGTGTTCCCATGGCACGAATGCCACTCCAAGTCCACGATGGGTGCGGTGGTACTGGCTACAACCGCTTGGTGGATCAGTATCCTGTTTCCGCTTTCCCTTCCATCCGAGGTAAAGGGAGTGGCGATAGCTCTATGCTGCATCCCAGTCTTGACCTCCGTCATTCAAACCAGCCTAGCTTTCTCACGCTCGTCGTGTCTACTGGCCGTCGCTTTCAAGCCTCTGCAGATGCAGCCCGTAGAGGAAGGCGTGAGCGTGTTGGTGATGAAAGAGTATAAAAGTTTCAACCTTGATTGGGATGGTCTGATGGCTGGTAGAAGCCTAGTATGTAAAAGCAATCGATTTCAATCAAACGTGGATCGCGAGGGCCTCACATCTCACATGGACGAGGAAAGAGGCCCAGGGTATTATTATGTACATCATAGCCTGCTCTAAAGCAAGCCTTCCTCCAAACGCCGACTCCATCCCGCAACCAACACTGAGTTCTCCTCAGTAACGTCAAAGCAGGGAAAGATATGATCAGCCCATCGAGCAGCATTGCTCTGGACTGGTGTATAAGCAAATCAATAGCATGTCCTCCGCCTGGGACTCCCGCCGCTGATGTCTAAACTTGGCCAGCACCTAAGCCAGCCTGCAAGTACCAAGTGGTGCATCCAGAATGAAAGTCAAAGAAGACTGCCCCAAAACTAACATGATTTCGGCAAGTATAAGTAAGTACTGGGCGCGAGCTCTTCGTCCCAGTACATGAAAGCGTAATCAAAGATGCCATGCCCCTGAAAGAAATGCTGGAGCCTCTACAAGTAGATATCTCCGTCCTCTCCCGCTACCCATCGCCGCCACGCCTCGTCGTAGGCCCTCTCTAGATCAACCACCCATCGCCTGGTATCGAAAAGCGCACAGGTCCATTTGCTGTCCCACAGTGTTTTGCGCAAGGTTGCCAACCGACCCCTGCCTTCACCATAACCACCACGACCAATTCGATAGGATAGGTCATTAGCTAGTCTGATGGCAAAGAGCTCGTAATCGTCTTCACTGCCAGCGATGAGGTCTTTTGCTGCCTCGACACCTACAGGACCTTTGGGCAGCGCGCCCTTGAGAATTGAAGCCGCCATACGCGAACACATCTTGTAGGGGTATCGTGGTAGTGTGAGAAGAGGCGTACTAGACCACAATACATCTGCGGCAGTGGTGTGCGCGTTACATTCGGGAGTGTCGAGGAATAAATCGCAAACGCGAGCTCGGGATATATGCTGGTTCTTCGGTGCCACGTCCGTGAATATGATTCGGCTAGCAACTTCTTCCCCAGCCCAATCCTTCGCCGTCCTCCTAAGATTTGTTTCTCCCAGTTCGGGAAATCGCAAGAGCCATAGAATGGCCTTGGGAGCCTGTGCCAGGATGCGTAGCCATGTCCGAAACGTTGTAGGGTCGATCTTGAAACCGAATTAGCTAATGGTTCCGGTGGTGATGCTTAAATAAGCGGAAAATGACGAACCTTGTATAGTTGATTGAAGTTTCCCATGATAACGGTATCATCGGGCAGATTAGGAAACAGCTCTTTCCGCATGCTCCACCGTCGACACTGCTCATCTTCCCATGATACTTTATGTTCATCGGGGTCGCTCGACTGCGCATGGTCACAGCAAAAGAAAGTGTCTTTGCAGAACACAATATTCTCCGAGTAGATCCAGTCTCCATCGCCTTCTTCAGTTTTATCATCGAAAATGTCTTTAACAGAGAGGTTACCACGCCAAGGGCGTAATGTCTCCGGGGGGATTGCCGTGGCATCTGCAAGCAGATAGTCACACCACTCGGCACCCAAGCTGCCGGCGAAGCCCATGAAGGACATTTGGATCGGAGCAGGTCTCGCAGCAAAAATTTCGTTGCGGGCACCTCTAGTATAGCCATTCAGGTTGACAAGGATATGGATATTGTCTTGAACGATTTGCCCAACTAGCCTGTCCGAAGTCCATGTGCTGGCATCTCTGAATACGGGCGCTTCACGTTCAATCTGCAGCCGATGAACAGATTTATCGCTTGCTGCTGTGGCATAACAGAATGCCTTTACGCGAGTGGTATCGTGAAAACCGAAAACAGATTGCATACTATTAAGATGTCAGTACAGGCTGCGGCAAGGCAACGTGGAATCGATTCGAGCCGTCTTACAGGTGAGCCAAGGGATGGTTATTGAAGTCTGAAGAAACATAGCCAACATTCAGATGAGGCGATGGAGGCGCAGGCGGCGGGTAGACTGTCTTTGGAACCCAGGGAGAGCGAAGTGTTGAACATGAGATCCTGAACGCGTTGCGTTGTGATATCATGCGAATGTCCTTCGCTGTCAAGGGGCAAGTGAAGGTATGGAATGGTAAAACTGTTGGAGCGGACGGTACAGCGAGGGTAGACGGCAGTTGAGGACGCATGTACTCGGAGGCTGGCTTCATTGAGCCCCGAACAAACTTGTCGCAATACCATCGCCGCATCGCTGCCCGTGCTCCACGCTCCACGAGCCTCAGCAGACGCGATCCTTCCCAAGGACTCTTGGACCAGCTAAGTAGCTTTGTCGAGAAGTCAGAATGGGCGTCTTCCGACTCCCCGTCGACCAAGCACAGCTGTGCAACCAATACGGCAATGTCGTTATCTTGTAGAACGCCAACGCCCCAAGTTGACGCGTCAGCGAGTTGGCGAGACACGATGTCGATAACTTTCTTCGTGAGGCCGGATCCATGGTCTTCCTTTGTAGCATCGAAAAACATGCCCTCATTGTCAACATGCCAGCGATCGTATGTGCCCCCCTGTAGTCGTGCGCCGCCCCTGCCTCTCCAGTCGCAAACCGAGTTCAAGGCGGTAGACAACCCGCACACTGCTTCTGCAAATTCTGGATTGGAGTGAACAGCCCTTTTGTAGTATGTGATTGCATCGCTGATACGCCCCCGATCCTTGACGGCGTTTGCAAGGTTTGTCAGGGCGATATCAAAGTTTCCATCGCACTGAACAGCCTGCTCATACATCTGAATCGCAAGGTCCAGCTGTCCAATATCCTTGAGAAGGCTGCCGAGATTGGTGTGCAGGTGAACATGCTTCGGATCCAGTGTAAGCCCGTAATTATAGTACGCAAGAGCCAAAGCGAGTCCACTGCCAGGGGTAATGCCAGGGATACTAGGCAATGACGATAAAGTCTGACTCGATGTTGCTGCCATGGGCTGCTGTACACTGGCAAGTAGAATGCCTACATTATTTGCCGTAGATGGGCTCTCTTGAAGTGACAATGAAAGATAGTAAAGAGAAAGAATGTCACCAACGCCGGCCGACTTCCTGACTAGTCCGGCAGCCTGTGAGCCAGAGGACATGGCGTCCTGGAATATCTTGGCGAGAGAAAGTAGCGAGTTGCTCGTAGTTTGAATTGCCGCTCGCTTAGGGCCGCCCTCAGGCACGAACCGTAGTCCAGGGAGATCGCCGTTGTTAGAAAAAACCAGCTTTGCCGTGCGCCTCGCCTGTTCAGGTGGCAGTAACAAGGGGCGAGACGGCGTCGCCGTATCACTGACACAGCGATTGCTGCCGTTTGGTGCCAGAACTTGCTGGATCTGTCGGACCAACGTCTGAACAGATGCTGTTCTCCTTCCTGCGCTGATCAAGACAGCTTCCTCGAAGGCTTCAGACGCCCCTGCGATATCCTTCAGACTGTACAGCATTGTCCCTTTGGCATGGACTAATGCGAGGATGCGGCCATTTTCGGTACCTGGAATGGCATAACCGCTCGAACCAAAGCCAGGCTGGGTTCGGCTTTCGTCTAGAAGGCTAGCCGCCAGGCTGGAAGCAGCATCTCTTCGGGCAGCGGCAGGTTCATAGCCAGTCTCCCCTGTTGACCCCTTTGGTAGCTTAAGAGACTTTTGAACAAAACTGATGACATCAACCGCGTCGACGCTTTTCTTCTTGTACAGCAGACCGACCAAATGTTCTACCGCTTCAAGGTACTGCGGTCGAGTTTTGATCGCCTTCAACCAGCACTTCTCCGCCTCCTCTTGTCTATTCAGGCAGTACAAAGTCGCTGCCTGGTTCGACACTGCTTCCACATGGCTACATGACGAGTCAGTAAGAGTGAGCTCGCAATATCACAGTAGAAGCCAGACGCAAGATAGCAGAGGTGGGATAGAGACTTACTTCGGCTCCAGGGAAGTGATTCGGGTAAACCATTCTAAGGCTTCCTCAAAGTGTTCCAGGCCGTAATGCAAGCAGCCGCCCAGTAGAACACCATCAATCCATTTCCATTTGGAGTGCTCACATAAACGAGTGAGAAGCTCTAGGGAGCTTTTGGCATTCGCGAAAGGTGAGCCTCTCGAGGTCTGATTCGGATACAAGGAGCCACTTGTGTTCGCGACCGGGAAATTGACATGCCGGAAATCCTGAACTCCGTCCCAGCCAGCGTGCTGCGTGGTGAGTGGCAATTTGTCTCCCAAGGGACCGAATAGCATGCTGTCTTGGGTGTTCCTGAGGTTTGCGTTGGCCATCATTGCCGCATCTCCCGGGAAAAAGAGGTCCGGGGCCAAGGTGACGATGGGCTGTTTAGGCGGTTTGGGATATACCACCATTCTTGAGGTAGTGCTCAAAGCTGAGCCAGGCCTCAATTGCTGAGTTTTGCGCCCATGATGCAAGAGTGCGAGTAAATCGACATAACTTCGGTGCGCTTGAGCCAGCGCTTTTTCTCTGAACGCGGATGGATGTGTCTTGTTCATAGAATCAACAGCGCCGATAGATTGGTGCGGTTCTAGCGTAAGAGCCTCCAAATGAGTTTGTGCTGGTTGTAGAAAGCCAGACCCATATGCTGATAGGTGAGCGTAAGGATCCGGTGGAGTGAAGTGGGCAGATGGTCCTATTATCTGATTCTGCACCTTGGAGTAACGATGGTCATACATTGATGGTGACGGAGACGGGGTATGGTGCATTGGCGGGCCGACATAGCTCTGCTCTTGCTGATGCGCCGGAAACCACGAGTTGGCTACATGTAGTAAACCCGGGATGCTGGCTCCGGTATTTCCAGAAGGGAGAGTCCCCGGGAAGTAAGGGTTGGTATTGAACAGCGAAGGCCGCGAATGAAGCTGAGGAGTAGAGCCAAACAGCGCAGCCGTGTCCGGAGTGTTGAACCCATATTGCGAAGAGGCCGGAGAGACGGTAGAGTGCATCGACTGGTGCGTCAAGTCCTGTGCAAGGGGCCATAGTTGATATGTTGGAGGCGTTAAATTCAAACTACCGCCTGCGTGATCACGGACAGGCAAAGAGTTGCGGATCTGGTCGGTGGTCTGGCGAGGGCGATTCGTATTATACGCCATTTGAACCGCCGGGAGCGCCATCTGCTTCAGGGGCGGAGGCCTCGAGGCGTATTGAGCATGTGAACCATCGTAGCCAGCTTCAATAGTGCCACTCGGCGTCTTACGTCGCAACTGATGTTCCGGTCCGTCAAGAAAATGCGACTGGCCTGTGGCCGTCGTGCGGCGTTGAATCGGTTGATTGGGGTGTGAAGTCCGGACTGGAAAGGATCGTGGCGTCTTGCCGTTAGGGAAAAGAGCGTTCGCCGAGCCGGCTGGGAGGCAGCGTAAGTTCTCATCGAATGTATACGTGCTGAAGTGAGGGAGCAGATGGTAGTCATGTTGTTGCGGTGGGTAGTCTTCTGGCTGGTGCTGCTGCTGCTGTTGTGACTGCTGGAAGGGCGGGAGGGAATCGAAGTTTGGCGCCTGTGGCACCGTATGGTGCATCTGAACTAGAGGCAACATGGGTTATGTGATGAAGACGACGAGGCGCTTCTGGATATCATGAAGCGGAGCGCGGAATGAGCGAGCTCAGCACGAAGGAGAGTGCTGCGAGTTCCGGGCTGGATATATCGATCCGGGAACCAGTTGTCATTGCCTGCTGGCTAAAGCATGGCTGACAGGCCGGCTGACGGGCATGGCCTCTGGGACGCCTCGAGCGAACGGCTGTGCCAATGCCCGATAGCAATGCCACCTGCCCTGCGGCCTTTTCAAGCCTAGGGGTCCGAATTCCTTGTGGTTCAAGTTCGACGAAGCGCGACGGAAGGCAATGTCGAGAAAAAATCGTTTTTTATTTATTTTTGTTTCGTTTTACAGAGGTTCGTCGTTGGGTCGTAAAGATGGCGCCGGGTTCGTCGGTCGGGGCAATGGGAGGCCGGAGAGGCTAATGGAAGGACGGCAACGTTGAAGACGGTCTCCCTGACCGACGTGTCCAGCGACAAAGATCGCAGGAGAAAAGGTTGAGGCGGTCGATCGAGTGGTCCTCTATTGACGAGAAGAAGAATGCGAAAGCAACGTGGAGGGCGGAACGAGATACAATGCGACTAGTGCGAAATCTGTAGCGGCAGTGGTAGTAGAAGTAGTAGCAGCAGTAACGGTAGCCGTGGGTGGCGGTAGCCGCGACGGGAGCGGGAATGACAGCTATAGCTTGCAGCCGTGGCCGTGGCTACAAGTTTGGTTGTGGTAGGAAGATACAATGCGATTCAGCCCAGTTTAGCCCCAGTCGGGTGGTGGTGGTGGTAGCCGTAGCACGGCAGCCGTTGGGAGAAGCAAGAAGCGCAGGTCAAATAGATAAGGCGATCATCTGGGCGGACCACTCAGGCAGTCACGGCAGTCACAGCAGTGTAATAGGAGGTCAGAAGTCGACGGCCAGACTATTGGAATGAATAGCAGCCCGATGTAGCGAGTTGACCTGAAGGCTACCCAATGGCCCAGATTCAATCTCGTCTCGAGGATCTGTCAAGAAGTCTCCAGATTCTCTCCCAGCTTATGACCTCCAGCCTGACGCGGAGGTACGTATCCAAGAGCAGAGTGTATCTTACGGCGTGAGGAAAGGTCAGCGCACTATTCCGTACGGATACTAGACACATGTCTGCGCAGTATTTTGTATGCGCGGACCATGGGCATGGGGTGCCTTGGGTTGGGGGTTTGGCTACTCAAAAGTCGGATGTCGTGACTGGGGTGGGTGTGATGAGGTGAGGAAAGGTACCCTGAGGCTTGACGCGAGGTAGGTGACGGGGCGGGCGAGGTGGGGGGTTCACAACTGGGGCGTGCTCCATATTTCTCAAAAGCGGTCAGACAATGGAAGGTGAGTAACGAAGGAGGTACGGATACCTACAGGACAGGAGGCAGCGGCTGGCAGCGGCTCATAGGTACTTGAGACAAAGGGATGCAAAGGAGGAGGGAATGGCAAATATTTTGGGAAAGGGTGACATCGTAACCTCCAGCAGTAGTCGAGACGAGCGATTATACACATTACAGGTACGGATATTCCGTATGTATTATTCGCTATTATCCCTAGCGGTTCAAGACGGGAATGCCGCAACAAAACCTGGCAGTATTAAAGCGCGGCCATTGGGGGAGGGGGGTTGCTCAAGCAGGGAAGTCATCAAGGTAACACTAGGCCCTCACTCGACTTGGAAAAGCTCTTGGCTGAGGGCGCAAATTCATTGAATGAATGAGGTAGATACATCATACGGATACCATCAGTCGTGGACAAGTCACTCATTGTTAGTTAGACGTAAAGTAAAGTAATGGGGAACGGCGGGCAAAACCACCCAGCAAACCCAGCAATGGAAGCAAGCCGACCTTTTATCAATCTTAAACGCCCGCCGGTGAGGTGACAAGCCTGGATCCATGCATTAGTGCCAAACACGTTGGTTTCGCTGCACTGCCCAAGACAATGCTAATTTTACCAACCATACGCACCTTGGTGAATGCATTTACTACCTTATACCAGATGCAATATTTCTCCTTCCCTCGTCAACTTCTTCTCATCTTGTGCAAGCACCAAAGAGGGCATTCCCATCCATGTTTTGGTGACCCAATTGCGCAGTCTGAATCATTTAGTTTTTTTCTAGAGTTTTTTTTGGCCAGCATCAAACCATACTTATTGGACATAAGGTAGTCACAGGACACAACTGAACATCCACGGTTCGGCACCGCCCACCACTAGAGCCCGCAATCCATCGAACATCATTTGTCATCTACCTTACGAGTGTGAGAACAGATGTTTAACCGGTTCCTCGAGGTCGCCTACTCTTCGAAGCCATTACCAATGCTGCAATCGCATCTTTCTTGGCCATGCCAAACGAAACTATTTGGCGTGCGGAGTACAGTACATTATTATGGACATGGCTCTGCTGCTGAGAAGCTTCAGACTATCTTGAAACCAGAACGTAAGTATGCCACGGCACATCCGAGATTCCGGGTAGAAATCCCCACCCCAATTCGAAGACCTCGATATCACAACGCAATAGTTCGCGGCGGGCAAGGTTGCGACAACCGTCTTTGGAAACTTTATCATTTGGTCATTTGGCAATTCTTTTTTTCTTTGCCCAAGGTTATCCCTTTTGGGTAGTCCCCTTAATGCAGAACCAATCCTAAACTCCAGAAGTCATGCGAGAGTGTGCTGCTATTGACCTCCTTTATTCCTCGGGGACTATTATTCTGGTTAGCCGGCCACTCCAAGAACTTTTTTTCGGGTTTGAAATGCAGCTGGGTAGAGGCAAGGGGTTACTTACTGTCAATCTCACCAGCGTCGATAGCATCGGTGATGGCCTTGGGGCTCTTGCCGTCAACCTGGCATCCAACACTGTTTGCCGTTCCCAGAATCTCCTTGACACCACCCTCCAGCGTCTTAGAGAAAGACTTGTGGCGCATGGTTCTCGCAATCTCGATGATCTCCTCCAAAGGAACAGACTTGTTGTGCTTGATGTTCTTCTCCTTCTTGCGATCGCGGGGGGGCTCCTTGAGGGCGCGGATGATGAGGGAGGAGGCAGTGGGGACAACGGAGACGGCGGCTTGACGGTTCTGGATAGTGAGCTTGACCGTCACGCGGAGGCCCTTCTATAAGTTCATCCCTATCAGTACTGTTCTGGCTCGCTTGTGGAGGCGTCGACAAGTTCATGGTTGGAGAGATTGCCATACCCAGTCGCCAGTGGCTTTTGCGATATCTTCACCAACTTTCTTGGGAGACAGACCGAGAGGACCGATCTTGGGGGCCAAGGCGGAGGAGGCACCAACCTCACCTCCGGTGGCCAGGAGGTGGCTATATTGGCAAATTGCGTTAGATGAATATTCAAGATTTTGGGGAAGGTGCGACGTACATGACCTTGACTTCGTTGGGATCGAATTTGGGAGCTGTGGTGAACCATTAGTTTCCTTGTCGTCGCTTGTTCGGCCTCATGGCAGTGCAGTCGAAAGGGTCACTCACGCATCGTGTCTGCTCTCGGATCTGGGTCTGATGGGAAAGTTGGTGTCGAAAGATGGAGTTGAGGCCGAGTTGGACGGGGGAAAATGTTGATTAGTTCTGTGCGCCTTCTCGCAGCCCTAGGCAAAAAAGACTAACATACTGCGCCACAATTTCTGTGGCTGAGTGGAGAAAATTGGTGCACAAAAGCCTGGCCAATGACTCTTTTTCGCGCTCCACTGTTGCTCTTTTCGCCAAAGAAAGCCGCAACTGTCACGTGGTTTACTCGCACCTAAAATGCCACCGATTGATAAATATTACCTATCTTATCTTCTTATCAGTTCTCGCTAAGGCAAGGTACCTAAGGTAGGTAGGTACCTACCTTACCTTGCGGACGAATAGGTAGACCAAGCCACGTTCGCTACCTGATCCCAGCCACACGTCAGAAAGGCAACGTTGTCAAAGTACGGATTGCACCTCAGCGATTGCGGCACTGCCCTAGGAAAATTGGGGTACGATTACAGGTACCTGGTGTGCTCTGTGCATCACCTTGCCTTGCTACGCTCCCACTCCGTACCTAGTAGGTACCTAATCAATCACGTTGGTGGGGGCGGGGTCCTCGAGCTACCTTACATCCCCACTCTGTCACGCTTTACATATGCCAGGTCAAATACCTTAACTTAGGTAGAGACTGAATAACGTTGAACTGATCGTCTCATATGCCATTCTTTCATGAATGAATCCGATATGTTTCACAAAGCCCAAGGTCCATTTTTCCGCCCTGCTCGCGCAAGTGAAGTCATACACAGAATTCTTCAGTGTTCATTGGCATTTATCTTCATAATTACGGCAAAGTCAGAAGTCTTATATGCCAGAAATAGCAAGGCTTCAATTTGCAATTATCCCCTGGATCCCCATCTTATGGATTTGTCGTATCTTGGCACGAACAAGACGGCCACCACCTTTACTGGCACCGCACCGCTATCCTCCTTCAGCCCGTGACGATACGCAACTCGGTCATCTAGTTTGTACCACTTACGGCCAGCCTAACACTCAGGGTTAGCAAGTCAATTAGAAGAGGATAAAGATTGAGTGGTTCCTTACTTCATGAGATGGTCCATAAAGGTTTGCAGAGACACATCATCAGTAAAGATAGTCTGGGCGTTTTGCGCACCCACGCCGCCATAAGCTCCAGTAGTGTGGGTGGTCGATGGGTTGAGCTTAGACAGGAGGAATCTGGCTTGAGAACCTCCAGCATCACAAACAATGAATCGAGGAAGTGGGAATCTGTCGGTGATGAGATCCTACATAGTGTTAACTGACATACTGGAAAATTAACGGAGGAAGGGATCTTACTCTTGCGTCTTCCTTGGGTTGCTCGAGCAGAGATGCAAAATTTTCATAGCCCTCCTGGTCCTGGTATCCCGCCTTGCGCCACTCGGCGACCGTCTCGCCGTGGAAAATGAGAATGTGGAAGAAAGTGTCGAGAAGAAGGATATGGGTGGGCTGAATGGAAGTCGAGTCCAGCAACACAGGTTGGCCACCCTCCTGATCGAACGTGTACGAGTCTAACGTAGGCTGTATCATGATGAGGGAGTTGCTTACGTCCTCATGGTTGAGAACGTGGCGATAGAAGGCCGTCTCGTCGGGGGAATTGTTGAAGACCTGTAGGAACTGACTCCTTCGGAGGTGGAACATGAACTGTGGGTACAGCGTAAAGTTCTTCTCGAGCCGGAAGGAAGATGGATCATCTTTCCGGTAGTCTGCAAAGCGGGAGCAGAGTCTGATAAGCATCCTGTCAACCCAGCGCAAGACATCCGGGCCGTCATCAACTTCGGCCTTGAATACTGCAATGCGAGACATCAGAACAGCAGCAGCTTCCTGGTCGAACGATTGTGCGATGGCTGGATCGCCAGCTGGGCCACTGAGATTTCTGGCAATTGTCGTAACCCTCAAATGGAATTGGCCGGACGAGTGTTGGTAGTAAGTGAGGAACTGAATCATGCCCTTTTGTGGCGTTTGTTGATGCTGCGTTGGGCCTCCCTGACTTGCAATCTCGAAGTATACGCCGTAACTTGCGTTAGGGTCGATGCCGCACATCTTCCATGAGCATGTGTTGCCTATGCCACATTCCGTCTCTCCAACAGATGTCGATTTCTTGTTAAGTGAAATGGCGTGACCAATCAGTCCAGTAACCTTCAACTCTTTGGTGGTGAGTACTTCGAGCGTAGCATTGAAACCCATGAGCAAGTTGTCGTCGCCATCCTTTTCGAACACACGAATGAACGATTGCCTGAACATAGAGGAAGTGAAGCTGTCGGTCAAAATCATGTGGCCACCGGTGGAGTTGCAAAGGCCTTTCATCTCTAAAAGACCGACTTGATCAAGACAACCCGCGAATATGTCAATGATGTGACCATTATGAGCGGTCCTCTTGGCCAGGATATCATAGAACTAGCGACTAGTGTCAGCCTTTTTCATGCAGGGGAAACCTCATTTAAGTACCGACCTTAAGTGCCTTCTTGTAGTACTTGATGTTGTCCCGGTCAATATCGTGATGCGATCGGATGGGCTCTCTCAGCTCCGGGCCAACTACCATGCCGGGTCCCTCTGTTGCCGGTCCACCGGCGAAGAGCATAATGCGGCCACCGGCGTGCTGGAATGAAGACTCAAGAAGTCCTACAGCCACACTGAGAGCGACGCCGGAGCAGCGCAGACTCCTGCGGTCGTTGGCTACGGGCCATGGATCTTTCTGAAGCTGCTCCAAAGCTTTCGTCAGCTGAAACTCGGCCTGCTGAACGGGCAGGAGAAATCTCGACGCAGGGCCGGCAGGCATAGGCCTTCCGGGTTGTTGCTGGGGCATGCCGGGTCGCATTGCTGGTGAGAGCAAGCCGAGCATCTCCTGCACCTGCTTCGCAGAGTAGTCCTTGCTACCACGGAACACATATGATTTCGCGCATTCAGTGTAGCCAATTTCGTGAACTTGGGCCTTGACAAGTGGTCAGCAAAGGGGGCCATGGGATACCCGATGGATATGGTACTTACCATCGTGCCATATGTGATTAAACCAACGAGTGCATTCTCGGGTAGCAGGCTCAGGCTCATGACCAATGACTCCTTGAGCGCAGCGAGGCTATCGTCCTCTTGGCAGGTGTCGACGACATAGAGGAAGATGGGAGGGCTTGGAGCCGGCCGCGAGAGACGATACTCGATTGTAGTGTTGGAAGGGTGAAGTTCGGGGGGGATCGCATTGGCGGTGATGTCTTTGTAATGGGGCGGAAGAGGGTTCCGCGACAGGCAGAAGGGACAGATCCAGAGACGGGCTCTTACGTCCACAGAACTGGCCCACGTTAGATTTCTAGATCTAGATAACTCAAATCGTTTTACTCACCAGAAAGGATTGAGGACGGAGCGGCAAGGTTGCTTGCAAGTCACCGGTTCGAATTGGAGGAGTGGTGTGTCAGGCTTCTCTTTGAGAGGAGTGTAGTTGGCCCCAATCGGCACGACCAAGCGCGATGCTTCCTGCATAAGCACATGTCAGAAGATGAAGAAAGACACCTTGCCAAGCGCAACTGACCATGCGAGAGCTAGGAAACACGTTCCAACTCAGGCGAACTCCATCGCGGTCCTCGACCTCGCTCCATTGCTCCTTAAGAGCTTCGTAGTCCATCGTTGTGTGATTGTCCTGCGGCGATCGATAGTCGGGCGATGCGGATACGGCGTGAATCTTGAGAAATATGGTCAGTGTCAGATGTTTGAGCAGGAACAATAGTACATTTATTTCATACTTAAGTTGCCAGCAAATAGGTTGCGCGCGAAAGTTAGTGTGTCCAATAGAGGATACGACGGAGAAAGCAGGTTGGTTTGGTTTGGCCACGGTACAATTACCACAAGACGGTGGCTTTGAGCTGTGGCCTACGGGTGGAGGCAATGTGTCAGGAACAAGCTGTGGTGGAGCTACGTTCCTGCCAGTGACCTACTGGTACCAAGTCTGTGGGTCTCTAGCGCGCGGCTACGGTTGTGTGTAAGGAGGTGGAGCGCACGGGCACCCAAGAAGTTCAGCTGACTGAGTACGGCTAAGAACCGGTGAATCCTCGGCTCTAGTTATAGGATAAAGTTCGGATCTTATATTACCTACTCGGGTTAGAGAGTAAGCGGGAAGGGGCCATTAGTAGTATAAAGTAGTTCTTTTAAGTTATTTTTAATAACTTTTATATAGTGGTTTTTCCTAGCTTTATTTATTTTTATATTTTGTTTTTATTAGCTATTTAAATAATTCTAAATATTATTTATATAGTATTAATATATAATATTAATAAATGCTCTTATTATTTCAATAAACTATTTTTAATAAGAAATCATTTTTCTTTTTATAAAGTTTATAATTACGAATTAATCTCGTATTAATAGTAATATTAAATATATAATATTATTATTATTTTATAAGCCCGCATACTTGTATATATATTATAGGATTTTGTATTTATCTATATACTATTACTTCTACTTATCTAATCGCGTATATATATACCTATATAATATTAATAAATTTCTAAATAAGCAGGTCTTAAGTTAATCTAATACGTTAATAGTTTTTTATATTATATAATTACTTATATAACGTATATACATAGCAAGTCGCTTATTATAGCGAGTCGCCCACTTCCTTATCGTACTTTAAAAGTCGATTTTTAACTATTTATTAGAAGTCGAATATAAGTTTAAAATATATAAAACTTTTTAAATAAATTTTTAATAAATTTATATAATAATATTAAATATTTGAAAAATTATAATTTATATATATAGCTTTTAAACCTTTAAAAAAGGATTTTTTTTTTATCTTAGACCTATTTTAAACTTATATATATAATTAAGCTATATATAATTTTTAAAATATTTAATTTTATATTATAACTTTTATTAAAATATAATTAGAAAGTTATATATATTTTAAACTTATATTCGATTTTTAATAAATAGTTAAAAATCGATTTTTAAGGTACGATAAGGAGTAGCCCGCTCGCTATATAAGTACGTTAGAAAAAAGTTATTATAAAAAGAAGAGGTATAAATAGTAATAAAAGTGGCCCGCTCGCTATAATAGCCCGCTTACTATATAAGTATATTAACTAAGTATATTAAATAAAAATATTAAAAAAACTTATTATTAAATAAAAAATTAAAAAAATAAGAGGTAATATTTAATTATTAAAAAAGTAATTAATATATTATAATAAAGTTATTAATATTTTAAATTTAATTAGTATTAATAGTTAATATAGCTAACGTACTTATATAATAAGTAACGTATCATAATAAGCGACGTACGTCCTTATAATTTTATTTTCTTTATTTTTAAGATACCTTTTTTTTATATAAATATATAATCCTCTTTAAATAAAAACTAAATTATCCTTATTTTTTAAGCTATTAAAAAAGACTTAAAAATATTTATATAAAGAGCTATTTTTATTTTTATAGTCCCTAAATTAACCCTTTATATTAATATATTAAATATATTATATAAGGTAAAAGATAACTAAATTTAATAAAAATAACTATAATAAAAAAAGAAGTAATTTTTAAATAAGTTATTAACTTAATTAATTAAGGGTTTCTTTTATAATAAAAAAACGTATAAAAATAGCTAATTAACTCTTAAATATATATAATAAGATATATATTAAACTATAATAAATAAAGAACTTTGTATAATACGTTTTTAAATTAAAAATATAATTTTAATATTAAATTAATTATTAAAGGGCCTTAGTTAAAGATCTTATTATTATATAAAGCTAATTTATTTTTATATAAAATATAATTATAAAGTACGGAATATATAATAATAATATTTATAATTTTTAATAAAACGGGCTTCTTAATAAGAATATTATTATATATAAAGGTTATTATAATTTTTAATTATAATAAAAGGCTTTATATAAAATAGCTTAGTAATTAAAAATAGGTTTTTATTATTTAAAATATATATATAAATAGCTAAGTACTATTTTTATATATTATTATAAAAAGTAAATATTACTTTCTTTTTTAATATATTAATAACTAATTTTTAGTTATATAATATATCTATTTAAATAAAAATAAATAAATAATATATATTATTAGCTTAAATTAACTAAAGTATTTTAATTAATATATAAAAACTTATATAAAAGGCTCTTATTACTTTTTAATTTTTAACAACTATAATAGCTATAAATTAACTAATTTTAATAAATATTATAAAAAATAAAATATTATTACTTTTAATATACTTTCTTATTTATTATACGAGCTTTAACCTCTTAATAATAAGTACTTTAGCCCGTTAAAATACTTATATAATAAGGAAATTAATAAAATAATATAAATATAAATTTTATATATTATAAAAAATAACTTTTTTTTATTTTTAAAATAGTATTTTTTATTTTAATAAGTAAAAATAATATACGAGCTAGTTTTAAATAAATAAGCTTTATATTTTTAACCCTAAAATAGTTATTTTTTATTTAGATTTTAAGCTAAAAATGCTAATAGTATTAAATTTATAATTAAATAATTAAAGCTCTTAGGACCTAAAAATATTAATTATACTATTAAAAAGTATATAAAGTACTACTTTTTTTTAAAAATAAAATTTAGATATATTAAAATAGTTTATTAATATTAATATATAAAATAATTAATTTTTAAGTTATAAATATTAATAAGTTAATTTATAAGCTTATTATTATTAAAATAGAGAACTATAAGTTTTATATAGGAATAGAAGTATTAAATAAGTACTAAAAAATAAAAAAAACCTAGTTATATCTAAAAAAGTTATTTAATAATACTAAAATAAAAATACTAAAAATAAAAATAAAAAAATATTAATATTAAAAAAAATTAACTTTTAAAAAAAGGGTTATATAAAGAGTACTAAACTACGTATATAATAATATAATAATTATAAAAAGCTTAAATATAATATATAAACTTATAAAATAATTTAGAATAATAATAAAAAAGAGGGTAATATATAATTTTAATTAATTTCGTATATTATAGTTAAGTTAATTTATAAAAATAGTTAAGAAGTTATAAAGAGTGCGTTGCTCGTTATAATACGTTACTCGCTATATAGGTACGTTATAACTAGTTATAATTAATTATAAAGTTTATTATATACGTAATAAAAACTTAATATTAACTTTAATAAGACTAGCTTACTTATAAGGGTAAAGTTGGCCCCTAATAAGGCGGGCCAGACCTTAAAGGGCTTTTTAAACTTATAATAAGCTCATTAAGCTAGTATTTTAACTAATTTCAATTTTTAAACCTAACACTAATTAAAATAAGAAAATATATTACTAAATATACTATTATAAAAAATAAAATATATAAAGACTTAATAAATATTAAAAAAAGCTAATTATACCTAAGTCCTATTACCGCTAGGCTTATTATTATTAATTATTATTATTAAGCTACGGATAGAATTAGAATTGGAATTTAATAATCTAAGCTTATTATTAAGTCCTTTATATTAAAAAAAGAGTTTTAAAAGTATTTATTAATGAAAAAAGTTTTAAAGCTTAATTCTAATTTAATTATAATATTATTAGTTTTATTATAAATATTAATAATTAAGGGCTATAAATATTGAAAAGTTTAAAATAATAAGTTATTTATAATAAATAGTAAGCTTATTACATTCAAAAAAAGAACTTATATATTATAATAATTCGTAAGGTTTATAAATAAAAGCTCTTATATACTTAAGTTATAATAAAAAAATTAAAATAATTAAATAATAACATTATGAATTTAGTTTTATATTAAATATATATTAATATATTAGGAATTATTATATATATTATTATTTTTTAAAGCCTTATAATAAGCCCCTAAGAAAACTAAGGCTATTACGTATATTTAATTATTTATAATAATATATTTAAATAAATTTTATAATATACTCCCTAATTAGAAGGGGTATAATTTAATATATATAATAGTTAATAAGTTAAGTAAAGGAGCTATTTTAATACTTTATTATAAAATTATTATAACTTAAAATATAAATAAAATATTTTATAAAAAAGTATTATTAATTTTTAAGCTACTTAAGACTATTATTTTTAATTATTACTTTTAATATATATTAGATTTTTTAAAAAAAGCTTTATAAACTTTATAATATTAAATTATAATTATTAATAATAAATTATTTATAAATAAATAGCTAAACTAAGATCTTAAATTAATATATCTTCTAATATTTACGGCCCCTAGTTAATTATTATGAAAATAATTAAAATAATATATTATTTATAGTAGACTTTATTTATATAACTTAATCAAATAAAATTATAAGATTATTATTTTTTAAAAATTAATTTAATTATTAGCCCCGATTATTTTTTAATTAAGTTATTAAAACTAAACGCTTCGATATAATTGAAATTTTTTTAGTTATGTAAAAGCTTAATAAATAGCTTAAAATATTTATAAAACTTAAAAGATTGTTAAAAGTAATATAAAAGTTACTTAAATAAAACACTAAAAATATTTAAACTATTATTAATAGCTTAACGATTTAAAAGTTAATAATAAAATATTTATAAATATATTTTATTAAAAGATTAAGGATATTAATAAATTATAATAATTTTA